TACCAAGTGTTTAAAGAAGAATTAAAGCTGATTCTATGCAATCTCTTTAAGAAAAGAGATTTTATGCAGCTAATATTCCCCTCTAATACACATTGGGTCTTCGCTGCCCTTTCGTGGCATATAACTCCTGAAATCCTTGGAACCTCCAAAGTGCTGCCTTTTTGTAAAGTAATGTTAACTAATACTTTCTGGAAGGGTCTGGTCCTCAGAAAGACACAGCCATGATTAAATAATTGGGACTTTCAGCCCCAGCCCCCAATACCCAGGAGGGGAGAGGGGCTGAAGTTTAAGTTGATCGCCATTGGCCGACAGTTTAACCAGTAATGTCGACATAATGAAGCCTCCATAAAAGCACCACAAAGGCAGGGTTCAGTGAACTTCTGAATAGCCTAATACCTGGAGGTTCCTGGAGGGTGGTATGCCCAAGGAGAGCATGGAAGCTCCATGCTCCTTTTCTTATGCCTTCCCCTATGCATCTCTTCACCTGTATCTTTTGTATCATCCTTTACAAGGAACAAGCAAATGTGTTTCCTGAGTTCTGTGAGTCACTCCAACAAATTAATCAGATTCAAAGAGGGCGTCATGGGAGCCCCGACTTGAAGCTGGTAAGTCAGGAGTTCTGGAGGCATGGACTGGTGACTGGTGTCTGGAGTTAGGGCAGTCTTGTGGAACTGAGCCCCTAGCCTGTGGGACCTAATGCTATAGCCAAGTAAATGGTGTCAGAATTGAACAGGAGGACACACGGCTGCTGTCCACTGCAGAATTGATTGCTTGCTTGCCGTCGGGAGAATTTCCCACAAATTTTGGGAAAAGTCTTATGTGCTGATGTTTGTTGTGAGAGTAGAAGGAAAAAGCAGTTTGTGTTTTTCTAAACACAGCCTGATATGAATATTATCAACTTTCACCTGCTAATTCTTTCATTGATTTCTGTTCCTAACATTTTCTGTTTTCAAATTTCTAAATTATTCCTTTTATCTTTATTATTTCCTACCTTATTCTTGACTGGGCTTATTTTACTCTTTTCTTACAAAGTTATTGAGGTGGGAACTTAGATTACTTGAGACCTCTCTTGTAAATGTGTTCATTATTGCTATAAATTTACCATTCATTGTTTTAGCTGTGTCCCACATATTCTGATATGTTGTATTTTATTTTCATTCAGTTTTTAAAAAGAAAATAAATCTCAGGACCCCAAACTCACTAAGCCAAAGGGAAAAGGCAAGCTGGGAACTGGGTCACAGAAATCTGCTTCCCAATTGGTCCCTGAATAGAATAGCTACAAAGATGAAAAGCTACATACCTCCCCACCCTTTGCCTGCAAGGAAATTCCTTGTGGGCCCCAAGATCTTTACCCTAAAACAGTTCTGCTGGATTTCACCCTGGCAATGTAAATTGATAACTTGTTTTCACAGGTGCAGGACAAAGGGCAGAACTAAAAGTCATCCCTCTGCTCACCTGAAACAAATATGTATCTGATTGCTTCCTTTGCCCTATTGTTTACATTACCTTATGTAAATATGCAGATTCTCTGGGCCAGACGAAGGATAAGTGTCTATTTGTGACTATTCATCTACTCCCCTGTTACATGTAAGTTGTGTACTCCATGAAAGGCTGAGCAAAGACTCAAAAAATTTAACCATTTGTCTTTTATCTATCCACACCTTTCAAACAGTTTCCTTCTCTTTCCCCCATGTCTGTTCTTTCCCCTTTAAATATCAAAGCCTTCAAAATCATCTTTGGAGAAAGGCACAGTCCTGTATCCTGAGCATACATTCTTAATTTTGGCAATAAACCTCCTAAAATGATTGAGACTCACCTCAGTCATTTTCATAGATTTACAAGTTCTATGTATTTTTTAAAATATATTCATCTTAACACTTTCTCTTTGATCTATTGTCTTAGTCAATTTGGGCTGCAATAACAATTGTACTGTAGACCATGTGACTTAAAGAAGAAACATTTAACTCTTAGAATTCTGGAAGCTAGAAGTCCAAGTTCAAGGTGCTGGCAGACCCCACGTCTGGTGAGGGCCACCTTCTGGTTTGCAGATGGCAGCCTTCTTGTGGTATTCTCCCATGCTGGAGAGCAGAAAGCAAAGCACAAGCTCTCTGCTGTCTCTTCTCCACCCTTATGACCTACTTACCTCCCAAAGGCCCCATCTCCAAACACAGTCACGTTGGTGATGAGGCTTCAATATACAAATCGGGGAAGGGGGCTCACCGACACTCAGTCCACAGTACTTCTGGGTCATGTGGAAGTGTGCTAGCTTCCAAGTACTTGAAGTCTCGCCTGTTATTTTTTTCTGTTACTGAGTTTTCATTCTGTTGTGGCCATAGAACATACTTTGTATGATTTCAATTATTTTAAATTTGTCAAGGCTTGTTCTATAATACAGAGTATGATCTATCTTTGTACCTGTTCTATGGGACCTATGGGCCCTTGCATAGAAAGTGTATTTACTGTGGTTGGGTGGAGTGTTCTATGAAAGTTAAGTTAGAGCCTGTTGGTTAACGATATCGTTGAGGTTTTCTATATCTTTATATTTTTGTTCATTCTTGCTAGCCATTATTTCTCCAGCCCTAGAAGTCCTAGAATCTCTGGCATAGAAGCAGGGAAGAGATAGTGAATATTCAGCTTCTTTTGTTGTTGTTGTTGAGACAGCGTCTCGCTCTATCACCCAGGCTTAAGTGCAATGGCACAATCTTTGATCACTGCAACCTCCGCCTCCCAGGTTCAAGTGATTCTCCTGCCTCAGCCTCCCAGGTAGCTGGATCTACAGGTGCATACCACCACATCTGGCTAATTTTTGTATTTTTGTAGCAATAGAATTTTGCTATGTTGGCCAGACTGGTATCGAACTCCTGACCTCAAGTGATCCACCCGCTTCAGCCTCCCAAAGTGCTCAGATTACAGGCACGAGCCATTGCGCCCTACTCAAGCTTCTAACTTCTTAAATTAGCTAATGATGCATATTTCAAAGACAAAAAGCCAGATCTTTTATTTCTCATTTGCAAGAGCCAAATTTCATCAAAAGGAGAAAAAATGCTTTTACAGATTTCAAAGAGCTAAGCCGTAGAGGATTTGAGTATAGAATGTTTAGTGTAAGATATCAAAAGACAGGATATGTGATATAATATGGATATTATATCCCACTAAACAAGATAAAACATTCCTCCCAGACATCAGGGAGGCAGGAAACAGAGGCAGACAGAGGTGAGTATCCAACCCCCAGAACTGAGACACTTAGTGAAAAATGTAAACCCCTCAGTAGGTTTGAGGATCTGAGGACAGAAGAGTATGTTTTAAACTAAGAAAAAAAGAGTCATGGAAAACGAGCTTGCTGTGTGCCATAGCCATCATAGAATAGATTCAGGGAAGCAGAAATGAAAGTATAGCATACTTAAGTAGAGAGCCTTAGTGTTCCTGGCTTCACAGTCAGCTCCTATCCAGCAGTTCCTGCAAGTGGTGGGGGGACAGAAAGCCAAGAAAGTGACAGAATGAGGAGGGCCCAGAATGCAAGGACCTGAAGATCAGACAGTATGGCTACACCTAAGGGGATCAGCAGCAGAAGCTGGTGCAGGTCAGAAGGATGAGCAGAGACTGGCAATACAAGCAGAAAACGACCAGGAGAATGAGATACTCAAGCAGAGGCGAATGCAGGACAGCTCACCACTCCTTCCAAGCTACTATATAAGCTTCCACTTGGACCCAGAAGCCATCATAAGTGGCACAGACAGGAGACAGGGAAATACTGCATAGAAGAGGATGGTTCCTCAGCAAAGACCCCACCTTCAAGCCTGGAAACCCACAGCCTTAAATGAGAACAGACATTTCTGTTTTTGTGACCAAAAGTTGCCTTTTAGCCCACCATCCCCCACCCACCCTGTACCCATATAAACCCCAAACCCCAGGCTCCACAAGCAGATGAACAGAAGAGCAGAAGAATGGAAGAACAGTGAAGCAGAAAGAAGAAAAGGAGCATCTGAATGTGGAGAGGAGATCAGCTGGGAACAAAGAGGAGATGGGACACTGCATGACCAAACTCCAGGGAAGATCATCTTCTTCATCCGCCTTCCAGCTCCCCATTCATCCTGCTGAGAGCTGCCTCCACCACTCAACAAAATCCCCGCATTCATCCTTCCAGTTTGTGTATGACCTGATCCTTCCTGCATACCAGACAAGGACCTAGGTACCAAGAGGGCCCTGAGCTGGTTAACCCATGTGCCATCCACAGACAGCAAGGCTAAAAGAGTGCACTGTAACACACACCCACTTGGGCTTTGGAAGCTGCAGGATAGCCCTCGTGGATGCTGCCCGGGGCCTCGGCCCAGGGGTGCTCGCTCTGACTCCTGTACCCACCCATCTGCATGCTCCCCCTCCTGTAAGGAGTTGGAGCATGCACGGTGGCCAAACAGACAAGCCACACCCCTGTTGCATGTCCTGCTAGGGGAATCAGGGAACTCTCCTGTTTCATCAACAGTAAAGTAGCACCAAAAGGAGGAGGGGAACAACCAGGAGAGTGGGGCAAAGAGTCAGAGGAGCCCTTGAGAGAAAAGAACACCTCTGACAACCTGATTTTTGAATCAACAAAATTTAAGTTCTGGGTAATTACACCAAAAGGCTAAACCCTAAACCAGAAGAAAATCAAAGTGACAAAATTAATTTGTTTGTTGTTTGTTTACTTGATTGTATTTCTTTTTTTCCTCTCACCATCCTTAAAATAGGGGCTATTTGAGTTCAACTACAGAGGGGTTAAAAAACAGAATCCCATGTTTACACGTGTGAGGTTTGCAGGGTATTTAAGTACCCTGCTTAAAGTTTTGGTCCTGGAAGGGGCTTTGAAGGCATCTAATTCACATTGTATTGAGAGGAAATAGATGAAGAAATGGAAAGCAATTATCTCAGGACCACAAAGCCAGTCACTGAAAGGGCCAGTACAAGATTGCACATTTCCAAGGCACCCAGACAAGCAAGCATTCAAAATCAAGAGCCACTTTCACCCATAGTCACTGATGATGGAAAACACGGGCTTCAACAGATGTCGCTGCTTCAGATGTAGAAGCACCCACAAAACTCTTGTATCACAGGAGCGAACCCACCAGCCACCAGTGACTGCATGAGGCCTGTCCCCCAGGTCTTCGCTCTCAACAGGAATTCCCTTTGCCGTAGCTTTCAGCTTTCCGCAGTGCCAGCAGTCGTGACTGGTTGTGGCATCTCTCACAAAGCACATTGGATGTTGTTTTAAAGTCCCATGGTCAGAGCTAAAAATAGGACTATGCTGTATCATCTGATGTTTTCAGATCATCAGCCACACCACTCCCCTCCTTTCTGAAACCAACAGAGGTAAGTGGATTTTAAAATTTTGTTCTTTGAACAGCTCAATTTAGAGAACAATAGAGTCCCTCATTTCATGGGCTACTGAAAACCTGGAACTAAAGAGTGTGGCCCACTGGGACATGACTGTGCACACTGTTTAGGCTGAATGAGTGCTTATGTATGTTACAGAACAGGCTGCCTTTTGGGTGTCATCTCACATTTGGCTTCATTTTACTTCTCTCTAGTCATATGCCTTTGCCCTGACTTCTATGCCTATTTTTACATTTTATTTTACAGAAATGATATATTTTTGTAATGCAGCTTCCAAAAAAGATAAGAATATTAAGCAATGTGCTTATTCTCATCAGCTTCAGTCAAACTTCGATTCACCCATCTTCAAATTATTTGCTCAGATTATATCTACAAGGCAAAACGAAAATAAATAAGGAAAAAACCCTGCTGCTGAGGATTAAAAGCACCTTTTACATAATCACTAATGGATTTTGCAGACTGGCTGTGAACATGGCTGACAGCATCAAATAGATATGTCAGTGGTAAATTTTTGCCGTGTCCATGTGAATATAACCTCAATTTAAGATCATAATAAAACTTGAAACAGTGAAGCAAGAGTGAGATTTAACCTCCTTAAGATGAGGGAGTACATCTTCCTTTAAGAAGTATTTCAAACATGTTTACATAGACACTTACCCAGGCAAAGCAGCCTTAATAACTGTGTTTTAAAGTGCAATACATTAATATGCTACCTACTCTACAAAAACAAGAACCTTAAGAAGCAAAATAATAATCATCAGTTGAAATATGAATAGTTACCTGAAAACCTATAGCAATCCAAAGCCAAATTCAAGATGAACAAATTTAAGACGTCCAAAATTTAAGTTGAGACAGCGCTTTCCTCTTGGGAAACAACAAAATAAATACAAGTTCCCCTCCCTTCATGTCACACATACAATTTAGGGGGGCTCATTTGGACAGTATTTGTACTAAGATACATAACGTCATCTAGAATGTAAGTCAGAATACCCAGCTATTTTGTGATTTCTGTTCTTTCTTTTGTGATTATTCACTTCAAAATTACAAGTTCCAATTCATTTTTAGATTTCAAATAATCTACACTTCATCTGTTTTTATAATGCCTATATTCCTTGGCTTTTTCTAAACAAGGAATTGAATAGGTATCCTAGCAAGAAAGGTCGTGGGGAAGATTGCAAGCATTATACTATGCTTTGTTGAGTGGGTTCAGAATAGTTTATAATATATTATCATAAAAACAAATTGACATCAATAGCATAATTGCTGCATGAATAATCTTAGAACAAGTGAGACCTTTCAAGGCTTTTTTATTGTCAGCAATCATTATGCTCACCACATAAAACCAATGCCTTCTGGGAATTTTTTAAATAAGACTCAGCTTTCTCTGGTTTGTATTTCTCGGTGTCAACATAAGATATCTAAAAGATGAAAGAAGCTGTTCTGGCTGTAGGGATAATAGTGTATGTGGCCATGGGTGATTTAGGGAAAAAGTTGCACATGGAGCGAGATGTCAGTGAGCAAGTTCTCATTACCATCATAATCTTTGGCGCCAAAATGTAATAACTCTTTCTGCCTGTCAATGCCAAAGAGCACTTGAACATTAATTAAAAGCCCTAATGGTACTGGATGAAAGAGATCATGTTAACTCAACTTTACATATGAGATACAGAGTCACAGAGATTGAGAAAATGACCCGGGCAGATTTTTTTAATGATTCATAATGCCACAATATGTCGATGGCGAGAGGGAAATCGGCACAGACTCCCACAGCTACTGCTGTTCTCATCATTGCCTTGTATGGAACAGAAGCCTGGTAACTAGGGCTTCTGATTTCTACACATGTTCTCACTCCCTCTCCTGCCCTGCATTCCCTCAGCACTAATGACTTCTGTATTCATTGGCAATCGATGATTGAGAAAATAAAAAGCTGTCTTCAATTCCTTTAGGGCAGAAAACCGTTCTTAATTTTCTCTGAATTTCCCTATATTTCTCTGGCTCTGTTTCATGAAATGTGCAAACGAAGAGGTCCTGGGTTGAGCAAACTTAAAGGGCCTTCTTTACTCCAAAAATTCTCAGAGCCTTAACTATACTGGTGTATATTGCAGAGCTCAAAAGAAAGAAATCTTTCTTGCAGATTTATGTGACCACAAAATTTCCATTTCATGGATGTGGTAGGCAGAATAATGGTCTCCTAAGCTGTCCATTTTGTAATCCCTGGAATTTTACAAGGCAAAGGGGAAGTACAGTAGCAAATGGAATTAAGGTTGCTAATCAGCTGATCTTAAAATAGTGACGTTATCCTGGATTGTCTGTGTGAACCCAAGATAATCACAAAGGTCCTGAAAACTAGAACTGGAAGGCAGAAGACAGTGTCAGCAATGTAGCATGAGAAGCACGTGACCATTCACTGCTGAGAAATGTGGGAAGCTGCAGAACTGGAAAAGAGACACATTCTCCCCTCCAACCACCAGAAGGAATGCAGCATGGCTGACACTTTGATTTTAACCCATTGAGACCCCTTTCAGATTTTTATCTCCAGCACTATAAGATAATAAATTTGTGTTGTATTAAGCCACCAAGTTTGTTATAATTTATGACAGCAGCCATAAGAAACTAATATAGTGGGACCCATTAATGTCCTACTAATACCTTCCAGAATTACAGCTCTGTTACAATTTTTTAGGGAAACGCTATTCTACCTGGAACAGGGGCCCACATCAGACTGTCCATCAATAAACATTATAGACTGAATAATTCACTTTTGCTTCATGAAAATTGTTAGTACTAGGTCGTTAAGCCAGCCCATCTGTTAGCCTATTTCACAACCATTTCTACCAGCCATTTTGAATCATGAAGCAAAAATTCATTTACTTTAAATGAGACTAAAATAAACAGTACGGAATAAATTCAGTGCATCTCAAACCGATGTGCATGCAAACCACCTGGAGAATCCTCTTAAAATGCAGATTCTGATTCTATAGCTCTGGCCTGAGAACTGAGAGTGTGCATTTCTAACAAGCTACCAGGTGATGCCAATGCTGGTGAGCTGTGAACCAAACTTTAAATGGCAAAGAACAAAAGAGGACAACCCCTGTCAGACACTCTTCCCTGCCATGGAAACCTTTCTGTTCTCCCAGGCGGAATCAGGCAAATCCTCCTGGCTCTGTTTTTAAGACCAATACTGATCCCAAGCAGAAGATAGTCAAGCAATTTTAGCTTAATACTTAGAAGACTCAACTTCTAGCTAATACAGTATATTTTTAAATTATAAAATAAATATATTCTCATGAAAGACAATTTATAAAATAGAAGAAGGAGTAATTTTAATCATCCGCAGTGTCTGCACCCAAAGATATGCCTTATTAACATTTTAAGGCCTTTCCTTCAAGACTTTTTTCTCTACAGAGATTCTATTTTACATATTTGACATCATATTATATATCTCATTTTTTAATCCAGCATCATATGACTTTTGATCTAACAGTGGTTACAGATTGAATTATTAGTCTCAATTCTTCACTCCCCTCTGACAGAATTCTATATCCACACTCTTGCCACTCCGGGGAAGTGTCCTAATCCTTCTCCCTTCTAATAGACATATGCCTTTACTGTCACCAGGTTGGCAAGCAGGGAGTTATTCCCAACACCTTGATTTTGGGATTAATTAAGTGACTTACACTAGCCTAAGGGTTAATAGTGGACAAATATTTTTTAATGTAGGTTTTATTATTTAGATATGGCAAAAAGCCGATAGATAAGGAGACAGTACCACTGGAAAGATAGTTTGTTACACTCACAGACACCAAGACAAAAGGGCATGCCAAGCCATACTGTGGGGTCACAGGGGGAAGCACCAGGCTCAGCCAGGGGCAGAGGGAGCAGGGAGAAGATCTTTACTGCGGTTTCTGTGGGGAAAATAACGGGCGAGGCAGGGCGAGCAGGTTTAGAATTGGCCACTTAGAATAATTTCAGTGGACTCTCTGCTACAGTTGTCCAGTATTCAGTCCCGGAGTACAGGCCCGGAAGCTAAGAGTTCATCGAAGGAGGTGGTGGGGAGGGTGTGAGGCAGGTCTGCATAGGAAAAGCGCATTCTCAGGCCAGTAGTCTGCTATCTCTAGGAATTAGCTAACCCTGGGAGAGGTGGTCCCTCCAGGGTCAGCAAGGCCCCAAGATGACAAAGCATCAACAAACACAGAATAGAAATACGTGAGTGATGAGCGCAACCTGACGCAAACAAGCGCTTGGAATGTGCTGATGTGGTCGGGCTTGTTCTCTTTGCAGTGATTGTCTGCAGTGAGAAAAGCTCGTGCAGCCAGGGTTACAGAACAGCCACACAGAGAGCAGGCCTGGACCCGACTCAAGGTCAGGAGCTAAGCCCAGCTGACGCCCAGCCAGCAGCCCGCATAAGGCAGAAACTAATGCTTATTGCTGCCTGCCTCCGAGATTCTGTGGTTGTTTGTTACAGAGCATTATGGTGGCAAAGCTGAATATGTTGGAAGTGGGGTGCTGCCATAACCAATCCCAAAATATGTGCCATCAGCTTTAGGAATGGAAATTAGACAGGAAGGGTATTGTTCTAAAAGCCTGAAAAAAATGTTGGTCCGCGTTATATAGTAGTGAAAGTAGAGCATTTGTTATAACTGTTACTTTCTTTTTTTGAGACGGAGTTTCGCTCTTGTTACCCAGGCTGGAGTGCAATGGTGCGATCTCGGCTCACCGCAACCTCCGCCTCCTGGGTTCAGGCAATTCTCCTGCCTCAGCCTCCCGAGTAGCTGGGATTACAGGCACGCGCCACCATGCCCAGCTAATTTTTTGTATTTTTCGTAGAGACGGGGTTTCACCATGTTGACCAGGATGGTCTCGATCTCTTGACCTTGTGATCCACCCGCCTCGGCCTCCCAAAATGCTGGGATTATAGGTGTGAGCCACCGCACCCGGCCCAACTGTTACTTTCAATAAACCAAAAGACAGACAATGGACCTGATAAAGTTGGGATGATAAACAAACAAGTTTCAATTCACAGTGCTGGTAAGATAAGTGGGTTGCTGAATTGCATTTGAAAGCTATGATAAGAGATGGATTTTGTGATGGTTGATATTGAGTGTCAACCTGATTGGATTGAAGGATGCACAGTATTGTTCTTGTGTCTGTCTGTAAGGGTGTTGCCAAAGGAGACTGACAATTGAGTTAGTGGACTGGGAGAGGCTGACCCACTCCCCACCTGGGTGGTCACCATCTAATCAGCTGCTAACATGGCTAGAATAAAGCAGCCAGAAGTTGGAAGCATTTGACTCGCTGAGTCATCCCGCCTTTATCTTTCTTCCACACTGGATGCTTCCTGCCTTCAAATATCAGACTCCAAGTTATTCAGCTTTTGGACTCTTGGACTTATACCAGTGGGTTGCCATGGGCTATCAGGCCTTCGGCCACAGACTCAGGCTGCACTGTCGGCTTTCCTGCTTTTGAGGTTTTGGGACTCAGACTGGTTTTCTGCTCCTCAGCTTGCACGTGGCCTATTGTGGGACTTCACCTTGTGATCGTGTGAGTCAATACTCCTTAATAAACGGCCCTTCATATATACATCTATCCTCTTAGTTCTGTCCCTCTAGAGAACCCTGACTAATACAGATTTTGGTACCAGGAGCAGTTCTAGAGGAAGAGAATTTTAAAGATGGATTTCTTTAGTTGGTTTTGGGGTTTCTGGAGTTGGCTGCTTAAAATGATTAGACCCAAAAATGCTAAGGACTCTACTTCTAATAGTATGGAGAAAACTGATGGTCCTTTGAGTGAACTGTTTAGAGAGTTATGCAGAATAAATGCATTCGACACTCCTGATTCATCACTCATGAGAAGCAAGGAGTTTAGTGACTCTGTACGTAATACCTTTGACCACATGTGAAGAATCAGGGAATATAATGAAGCTGATGAGTTGCTCATCGGACGAATTGATGAAGGAAGATGAGCTCAAGGATTCTAAATCCTGACTCCAGAAACACACTGAGCCTCAAGCCTTCTAAGATTGCTCCAAGCCTTATCTCCTGTAGACAAAGGGCCAAAATTGCAGAAAATCAGGCACAAGCTCTTATGATGAGAATGGCTGACCTGCAAGGAAAGGTGCATGCTCAGTCTCTCCAGGTGTCTATTGTTAAAGTGAGAGCATTGATTGGAAAAGAATAAGGTCCTGCAACTTGGAGTGGGGATGTGTAGGAGGGCCTTCATGACGCTGGGGACACTGAGCCTGTAAACTCCGAGGAGTCATTTTTGCCAGAGGAAACAGCCTCCCCACCCCCAGTGGTGGCAACATCCCCTCCCCCACCACCATGACCATCAGCCTCTCCACCTTTGTCTGAGGAGATGAACCCTGCACTGACTGAGCCAGCCGTCATGGCCTCAGACAGTGACGAGACAAGATAATGCGGGTTCTTCTCAGGACCCAACCCCGACACCCCTTTGTGCTTCTAGACCTATAACTAGACTCAAGTCCCAGAAGTCCCCTAGAGATGAGGCTCAGAGTAGGACCTATGAGAAGGTGCACTACATTCCAAAAGAACTGCCGGAGTTTCTAATTGATATAAGCAGAAATCTGGAGAATAGGCAAGGGAATGAACATTAAGGTTATGGGATAATGGTGGAAGGAACACAGAGTTGGATCAGCCTGAACTCACTGATATGGGCCCACTAAGCAGGGATCCTTCATTTAATGCTGCAGCTTGGGGAGTTTAAAAAGGTTCTAATAGTTTATTTGTTTTGTTAGCTGAAATACAAATTAAAAGATGGCCCACTGTGAGCAAGCTGGAAATGCCTGATCTCCCTGGGTTTGAATGTAGAGGAAGCGATCCAAAGGCTTAGGGAGGTTGGAATGCTAGAGTGAATTAGTCACTTTAGACCTACTCATTCCAGCTGGGAGGGTCCAGAAGACATACCCCTCACTAATACTTTGCAAAATAGATTTATCAGGGGAAAAACCTATATCCTTGAAGAGCGTTGTGATTGCTCTTCTCTGTCTGCCAGATCTTACAGTGGGAACCACAGTCACTCAATTAGAAAATGTAAATGCAATGAGAATAATTGGATCTCAAGGTGGCAGTGGCCAAGTGGCAGCACTCAACCATCAAAAGCAAGGTAGGCATAGTTACCGTAATGCACAGCAGAGGCAAAGCAGCAATCAGAATAGTCTGAATCAAGTAGAGCTCAGGCATTGGCTAATGAATCACAATGTTCCTAGAAGTGCAATTGATAGGAAGCCTGCTACACTCCTACTTGATTTGTAAAGCAGAAAACTTCCAGGTCAAGTGGACAAGACTAATTTGAATTATTAAAAAAGAGAATCATGGCCCTTCAATCAATTTCAGACTTGAGACAGTTTACAGACCCAGAACCCTTTAAATGAAGGAGAGGCCAGTTCCCTTGAGAAAGGACCACACTACACTACCAACAGTTTGTGCTGTTAATCTTTCTCCCATCCTTCCCCAAGGAGACCTCCAGCCTTTTGCCAGAGTAACTATGTACTAGGGAAAGGGGTGATCAGACTTTTGGGGTACTAATGGAACCTGGCTCTGAGCTGATGTTGATTCCAGGGGACCCAAAACGTCATTGTTGTCCGCCAGTTAAAGTATGGGCTTTGGAGGTCAGATAATTAATGTTGTTTTAACTGAGGCCCAACTTACAGTGAGTTCAGTGGGCCCTAGACTCATCCTGTTGTCACTTCCCCAGTGCCACAATGCATAATTGGCATAGACATACTTAGCAACTGGCAGAACTCCACATTGGCTCCATGACTGGTCGGGTGAGGGCCATTATGGTGGAAAAACCAAATGGAAGTGATTAGAGTTGCCTCTACCTAGAAAAATAGTAAATCAAAAACAATATCACATCCCTGGAGGAAGTGCAGAGATTAGCGCCACCATAAAGGACTTGCAAGATGTATGGGAAGTGATTCCGATTCCCACCACGTCCTCGTTCAACTCTCTCATCTGGCCTGTGCAGAAGACATGGGTCTTGGAGAATGGCAGCGGATTATCGTAAGCTTAACCTAGTAGAGACTCCAATTGCAGCTTCTACACCCGATGTGGTCTCATTGCTTGAACAGAGTAACACATCTCCTGGTACCTGGTATGCAGTCACTGATTTGGGAAATGCCTTTTGCTCCATTCCTGTCCTTAAGGCCAACCAGAAGCAATTTGCCTTCATCTGGCAAGACCAGCAATACACTTTCTCTGTCATATCTCAGAGGTATATCAACTCTCCAGCTTTGTGTCATAATTTGTTCACAGAGACCTTGATCACCTTTCTTTTCCACAGAATATCACGCTGGCCCATTACATTGATGACATTATGCTGATTGGATCCAGTGGATGAGAAGCAGCAAACACATTGGACTTATTGGTAAGACATTTGCATGCCACAGGATGGGAAATAAATCCAACTAAAATTCAGAGACTTTCTACCTCAGTAAAATTTCTAGAGGTCCAGCAGTGTAGGGCCTATATCTTTATATATATCTTTATATCCTTCTAAGGTGAAGGATAAGTTGTGCATTTGACCTTGTCTACAACCAAGAAAGAGGGACAACACCTAGCAGGTCTTTTTGGATTCTGGAGGCAAAACATTCCTCGTCTGGAATGTTACTCTGGCCCATTTATCAAATGACCCAAAGGCTGCTGGTTTTGAGTGGGGTCCAGAACAGGAGAAGGCTCTGCCACAGGTCCAGGCTGCTGTGCAAGTGTTTTGCCACTCGGGTCATATGACCCAGCAGATCCAATGTGTTTGAGATGTCAGTAGCAGATAGGGATGCTCTTTGAAGCCTTTGACTGGCCCCCACATATGAATCACAGCAGAGGCCTCGAGGATTTTGGAGCAAGGCCCTGCCATCTTCCACAGGTAACTACTCTTCTTTTGAGAGACAGCTCTCAGCCTGTTACTGGGTTTTGGTGAAAACTGAACGTTTGAATATGGGTCATTAAGTCATCATGCGACATGAACTGCCTATCATGAACTGGGTACTTTCTAACCCATCTGGCCATACCGTGGGTCACGCACAGCAGCAGCATTCCATCATCGAATGAAATGGAAGTGGTATATATGTGATTGGGCTAGAGCAGGTCCTGAGGGCACAAGTCAGTTACATGAGGAAGTGGTTCAAGTGCCCATGGTCTCCACTTTGCCACCCTGCCTTCTTTTCCCCTACCTGCAATGATGACCTCATGGGGAGTTCCCTAAGAACGCTTAGTTTCCCTATGTGTCCCCTAAGAACACTTCCTTTGATAAAGGAAGTGAAGACTAGGGCCGGATTTACAGATGGCTCTGCACAATAGGCAGCCTCCACCTGGAGTGGATAGCTTACAGCACTACAGTGCCTTTCTAAGATCTCCCTGCAGGACAGCAGTGAAGGGAAAGCTTCCCAGCGGGCAGGACTTCGAGCAGTGCACCTGGTTGTGTGCTTTGCTTGGAAGGAAAAATGTCCAGATGTGTGATTATATACAAATTCTTGGTCTGTAGCCAATGGTTTGGCTGAATGGTCAGGGAATTGGAAGAAACATGATTGAAAAATTGGGGACAAAGACATTTGGGGAAAAGGTTTGTGGATGGACCACTCTGAGTGCTAAAAAAAAAAACTGTGAAACTGTGTCTCCTGTGAATGTTCGGTGACCTCAGCAGTGGAGGATTTTAATAATCAAGTGGATAGGATGACTCATTCTGTGGACACCACTCAGCCTCTTTCTTTAGCCAACCCTGTCATCACCCAATAGGCACATGAAAAATGTGGCCATGGTGGCAGGGGTGGAGGTTATGCATGGGCTCAACAAAACAGACTTCCACTCGCCACGGCTGTCCTGGCTACAGCCACCACTGAGCGCCCAATTTCCAGCAGCAGAGACCAACCCTGAGCTCTCAATATGGCACCATTTCTCAGGGTGATCAGCCAGCTACTTGGTGCCAGGTTGTGACCTCAATCACATCAGGGTCACCACCTGAGACACTGATACACCTGCAGAGGTCTGTTCTGCAGGCCCTGACTCAATGACGGATGAATAAATGAGAGGATGGACAGGGGGTCTTGGTCAATTGGCTGCATTTCATGCTCTGAAAGCAGTCAATGACCATCCCTAACCCACTGGAATTACTGAAATAGGTGTGAGAGTGCCTTGATAAATAATCTGTCCTTGAGTCAGGGTCTGTAAGACAGACCTTTACAGGTGGTGATCAACATCTGTCTCATAATATGAAGGTTGTGAGCTCAATCCTCATACGGTGCACCACCTGTGACCTTGGTCACTTTGGGGTCACCGCCTGTGACCTTGGTCACTTTGAGGTCACCACCTGAAATGTCTATCACCACCTGCAGAGATCTGTCCTGTAGACCCTGACTCAACAACGGATGAATAAATGTACTCTCACACCTAGTTCAGTGATTCAAGTGGGCTAGGGATGGTCATCAGCTGTTGTCAGAGGGTAAAATGCAACCAATCCACCAAGACCCCCTGTCCATCCTCACATTTATTCAGTATAAATTTCATTACAGAGGTTCTAAGTCAACATGTTTGTGGATAATTAACATGATTAAAAGAGTGGTTCTACGAAAGATAAAAAGCTTTAGGTTCCCGGCCCAGAGTAAAAACTATTAATGGGTAATTCCCCTTTGATCTCCCCCTGAATGGACCATCCAGCACAAAGTTTACATGAGTCAACATTTAGAGTAGAGACAAAGTGATGTGGGGTAAACAGACTTAACTGGGAAAGTCTTTTATCATCCCTGTCTTTTCCCTCACATAATGGACTTTTGACCTTCCAAAAGGTTTGAGACTAACCTATAACTTTCCCTAATATTTCTCTAATATTTTGCCAGCCACCCCGAATGAATCTCAACAGTTGATTATATCAGACCTCTTCCATCATGGAAAGGGCAATGGTTTGTTCTCACCAGAAAAGATACTTATTCCAGATATGGGTGTGCCTATCCCGCACACAATGCTTCTGCCAAGACTACCATCTGTGGACTCACAGAATGCCTTATCCACCATCATGGTATTCCACACACATTGCCTCTGACCAAGGCATTCACTTTACAGCTAAAGAAGTGCAGGAGTGGGTTTATGCTCATGGAATTCACTGGTCTTACCACGTTCCCCATCATCCTGAAGCAGCCAGATTGATAGGACAGTGGAGTGGTCTTTTGAAGTCACAATGACACCACCAACTAGGTGACAGTATTTTGCAGAGCTGAGGCAAAGTTCTCCAGAGGGTTGTGTATGCCCTGAATCAGCATCCAATATATGGTACTGTTTCTCCCAGAGCCAGTATACCTGGGTCCAGGAATCAAGGGATGGAAGTGGAAGTGGCACCACTCACCATCACCCCTAGTAACCCACTAGCAAAATTTTTGCTTACTGTTCCTGCAATACTATGTTCTGCTGGCCTAGAGGTCTTAGTTCCGGAGAAAGGAATGCTGCCACTAGGAGACACAACAATGATTCCATTCAACTAGAAATTAAGATGTCACCTGGACACTTTGGGCTCCTCCTACCTTTAAGTCAACAGGGTAAGAAGGGAGTTACAGTGTTGGCTGGGGTGACTGACCCAGTCTGTCAAGATGAAAACAGTCTATACAGGAGATCCCTTAAGGCATCTCTTAGTATTACCATACCCTGTGATTAAGGTCAGTGGAAAACTACAACAACCCAAACCAGGCAAGACTTCAGATGACCCAGACCCTTCAGGAATGAAGGTCTGGGTCACTCCACCAGGTAAAAATTCATGACCCACTGAAGTGCTCACTGAAGGCAAAGGGAATACAAAATGGGTAATAGAAAAAGACAGTCATCAATACCAGCTATGACCACACAACCAGTTGCAGAAATGAGAACTGTAATTGTCATGAGGATTTCCTCCTTATTTTGTTAAGAGCATGTTTGTGCATGTATACATTTGTACTAAGAAAATATCTTCACTTTTATTTCCTTTCTCCTTCATCATGTGACATAAGATTTATTGACTTTATATCAGGATTTAAGTGTTGTTAACTTTATGTAATAGCATTTAGGTTAATGATTAATGCACTTCCTGTTTGTATAGAGAATAGCTGTATTAAGTTAGGCATAATTATGACCTTATTATTGATTGTCTTATTTGAAGATTATGTATGGGTTCATGTTGATAGGGATTCAAGTTGACAAAGGGTGGACTTGTGATGGTTAATATTGAATGTCAACTTGATTGGATTGAAGGATGCAAAGTGTCATTCCTGGGTGTGTCTGTGAGGGTGTTTCCAAAGGAGATTAACATTTGAGTCAGTGGACTGGGAAAGGCTGACCCGCTCTCAATCTTGGTGGTACGGAACCATCTAATCAGCCTCCAGCATGGCTAGAATAAAGCAGCTAGAAGAAGTTGGAAGACTTCACTCGCTGGGTCTTCTGGCCTTTATCTTTCTTCTGGGCTGAATGCCTCCTGCCCTCAAATATCAGACTCCAAGTTATTCAGCTTTTGGACTCTGAGACTTACACCAGTGATTCGCCAGAGGCGGAGGGGCCTTCAGCCACAGACTGAAGGCTGCACTGTCGGCTGCCCTACTTCCGAGGTTTTAGGGCTCAGACTGGCTTCCTTGCTCCTCAGCTTGCACGTGGCCTATTGTGGGACTTTGCCTTGTGTTTGTGTGAGTCAATACTCCTTAATAAATGCCCCTTCATACATACATCTATCCTATTAGTTCTCTCCCTCTAGAGAACCCTGACTAATACAGGTTTCAAGGAAAGCATGGCTACCTTGCAATGGAAAGGAGAGTAAATAAACACGGCCCAGAAATCCTGTATTTACAGAGAATAAAAAATAACCCTATGTCGAGAAAATTTCTATTAGCATGGACTAAAAGTGATGAGTTTTTGAGATAGAAAACTGTCCCCAGCCTCCTCCTACCCCAGCGTTCTTCAGGGAGGGTGCAGGCTGAGAGGGTGGCTCAGTCACCAGATAGGGCATATTCTCCAATGGCCTCTTTAGAAGTGACCAAGGGGGATTTTGGCAAAGGACTTCCCAAAGAGTGGAGCCAAAAACCACAGAGAAATAATGAACTGAGATTTGGGAAGCTATGCCCAGGGAGCAGTAATGAGGGTCTAAGCCAATAAGAATATTCCCTTCTCCCAAGGTAGGGGAATGTGGCAACATTCATTGACCAGGATTTCACAGTGGCTATAGACATGACCTCTATGTGCACCTCACTCTTTTCATATGAAAATGATGCCAGCAGGGGAGGAGATCTGAAAGGATCTTGGGATGGACGTGAGCACCTTTGGGAGGGATGTGGCGAAAGGTAATGGAAAGCAGACTGGGGTTGACTGAATTCTTGGTGCCAGTTCTTTTTTCCCTCATAAGAGAATTAGAAATAACACATTCTTGCCATCTTCTCATAACAAGCAGGGGGTATTTTCCACCCCTCACGTTAGGCTGGGCCATGTGACTACCTTTGGCCAATCAGAAGTTGTCAGACATTGAGCAAGCAGATGCTTACAATGTGCTGTGTGGTTGCACTCACCCTCCTGCCCACTACGAGAATCCCATGAGAAGAGCTCCCTCAGGTAGCAGACACCCTGTCAACCTGGGCTCCAGAAGGAACACCATGCAACATACCTGAGCCGGGACCTGCAACCTGCAGCCAAGGCCAGTTCGCCTGAAGCCAAAAGCAGAGTCTCATGCCAGATAACCTGCAAACATACGCAAAAGAAGTAAATGTTTGTTGTTTTCTGCCACGCAGATTTAATGTTTGTTATGCGGCTTTATTGAGGCAATAGCAGACTATGATATGTATTTTCCCATGTCTTTTCATATTCTTTAAATAGCACTCTTGTAAATATATTGATTCCATTGAAAAATTTCACTTAGTTCACTATTTTCTGATTCTGAAATACCAGGTTTTTTTCTGAATTTATTTTTGACCTCTATTTTTTGCTTCTTATAACAATGCTGTTAATAAGACATGAATGCATGTTTTCCATACTTTGATTTGTTTTCATAGGGTTAAAACTAGATAATAACATCTACTTCACTGGGCTGTTGTGATGATTGAAAGACTTAAAATAATTAAGTGCTGAGCATATCATCTTTCATGTAACCAGCATTCAGTAATGACTGTTATTGTTTTTTGTTGTAGAGTTCCAAAAGTTGGACAAACAATTTAAAGCTCTTAAAATGAAGTGTAAAACTATTTTCCAAAAGTTATATCACTTTATACGGCTAACGGCATCATATGAGTTTTAGCACACCTTCAAACAACTCCATTATTTTAACTTTAGCTATTTTGAGAGTTGAGAACTAATGTCTTGCTGATATTTTATTTTTTATTTGTTTTTTTTTTTTTTTGAGACGGAGTTTCGCTCTTGTTACCCAGGCTGGAGTGCAATGGCACGATCTCGGCTCACTGCAACCTCCGCCTCCTGGGTTCAGGCAATTCTCCTGCCTCAGCCTCCTGAGTAGCTGGGATTACAGGCACGCACCACCATGCCCAGCTAATTTTTGTATTTTTAGTAGAGATGGGGTTTCACCATGTTGACCAGGATGGTCTTGATCTCTTGACCTAGTGATCCACCCGCCTCGGCCTCCCAAAGTGCTGGGATTACAGGCTTGAGCCACCGCGCCCGGCCCGATATTTTAATTTTTATAGTTTTTATTACAAGTGAGATGGAAATTCTTATAAATTGTCTAACCATTTATATTTTCTCTTCTGCAAATTACCAGTTAACATGTCCATTTATCATGTTCCTTTCCATCCAGTCATGATGTTGGTCTTCCTCTGACCTGATAGACTTACCTGATGCCAAAGACCTGATTGATTTTCATGCTGTTCAATATAATAGTCACCTGTGGCAACTGGGCACTTGAAGTGTTTCTAATGCCACAAGTTGATATGATAATATTTTTTATATAGTGAGTGCAATGAAATATATTATTATAATTTATTGTATATGTTTCTTTTTACTTTTTAAAATATAGATACTAGACAATTTGAAACTACTTATTTCTATTGGACAGAGCTGCTTAGACCTTTAAATATCACTTGCTCTGAAATCCTCCTTTGTCAAAACTCCCATTGCCCACACCCTCATGTTGGCTTCTCCTACTATTACATGGTCCCTCACCTGCAATCTGTCGTCATACCTTCTAGACAATGCTGCGTTGAAGCCAATCCCTCTCCTCCAAGTCCCTGCTGCATTTCATTCTTCAAGTCTCACCTCCTCCTAATTCAGTCTCATCCCCCTGTGATTAATCCTCCCGTGTCTAGCAACACATCTCAATTAGGTTCTATCACAGACTCCTGAATGAAATGGCAAATCTGATAAGGATGTTTAAATCCTATAATGTGTGTTAAATAAATTATCCTCACTGCTATCTACATGTGTATATTCTATTTCTAGCAATGAAACATATGGCTTTTTAAATGCTGAGTTTTTTTTATTTGAAAATGCCATCAAAAGATCACAAACATACAAAGCTAATAAACAATTGCATATGTTTTTCAAATTCCCCTGCCTCTGCCCACACCTTCAAACGTAACCGCTGTGAATCTCAAACCACATTTGGTGAAGACAGCCAAAGGTTATGCCTGTAGCCACGAATGCTCAGAAGTTCCCTAACACCAACTCCACCTGACCAAAATGTCACAGACATTTACTCATAATTCCTGGGGTTTTTGAGTCTAGAAGGCAGCATGGGTATGGGTTAACTTACCTGGCCACAGCAGAATTTGTAAAAGCCCTTTATGAAGGATTCAAGAGAAAGAAATCTGTAATGCTGATGCAAAGTAGAATTCTTAATGTATTGAAAGGGATTATCATGTGTAACGTGGGAATTCAACCTTGTCTGTTTGATCCACAGCTCTTTTTTTCTTGCCTGAATTCATAATCGTGAAGCTCATTTGCCTTAGGGAAGTATCTGCAGCACATCTTTAATGCCAGACCAGCTCCTTCCTCTGTTCTTGCCCCTTTCCAGAAAGCGACTTCCCACCTCCCCCGACATCCCCACGGCTGCCCAGGAATTAAAAGCAATTTGAATATGTAATCATGTGGAATAATAAACACAAGTGTACTCTCTGGGGTGCTCGCTGGCTGCTACTGTCTCCTTGCAACTACTTTCCCAAGTGCCTTAGAGAGATGCTGAGAACACCATGTTGACGGTTAACCTTTTAACAGTTTTGCCATTTTCTGTTCACCCTGGCTACAAGCCCAGCTCTAAAGGAGGCACAGGAAGTGGGGTGAAGGAAGGGTTTCCTTCCTTCTGAGACTCACTGGAGACACGTTCTGCATAGCCTGAGGAAGAGAGTTGGGCAGGCTTTGAATAGTGTATTTTTAAAACATTCATTATTCTGACAATGGAGTTTTGTGAAACCAGCTTTTATTCCTTTTATGCAAGTTAATAGAGATTTTTCAAAACACATTACCATACCAGGAAGTAAATAACTATTGCCTTGTTTTATGAATATAAGAAATTTCTGTCAAAATGCCTAAATATTTTGATTTATTTAAAAGTAGATGAGCTGATGTGTAGGTATTTATAACATCAAAGTACTATTCTGATTGAATCAGTTTCAAAAATGCAACATAAAAGGTAGAGCATTCATCTTAAATAGCAATTTAGAAGTGGTTGCTTTGGGTATTCTGTGGCTTTCAGAATCTGATTATTTTGATACTGATACTGATGTTTTGATGCAAACACTAGAGTGATCAATTTGGTGGATGCGAGGGAAGGACCTCGCTCTGTATCTAATACTCCTTACTAAAATGTAAAAGTACCCATTGTACCTCTTGGATATATGAGAATAATGAACAGTACCAGTAAATATCTGAATTGCAATCAGTGTTGTTTCACCTGTATTGTCTCATTGCATCTTCAAAGCATGTGTCTGGGAGACAGATATTATTAGTATTAATCACTGATCTTGCTGAGATTGAGACTTCCTTCACAGTTGGTTATAAAGATCTAAGAATAACTCATCTTTCTTGAACTCGAGCATATCCATTAAGGTCAGAATTTCTGCAGATTGAGCTGGAGCTATTTTTAGGTAGATTCTAAAAAGCAGCTGCAATTCAAGTGTCACACTGCACGCCTTTTTGGCTCCGCAGTTGACAGTTGTGCTTTGTGCTACCCTCCTTCCCCAGACTCCTGGGACCATCGCATAGAGGGTGCTTGGGACACGCTGCACTGGACTGTGCCCCATCTCTCCAACATGACTGTAAGCCCTTGAGTTTTACAATATGCTAAACCTTAGCTCAGAGCTCTATGTAATTAATATTGACCAATGCTCATTGATAATAAAGTTCTATAAAATTTCAGAGGCCACCAGGATGCATCATAGTCCTGACCCCAAGGCAGGAGACTGAGAGTCACCAAGGACTGAGACGTGCTGTTGAGCCACAATCAGAAGAGAAACTGGAGTGGAGGAAGAGCCAGGCCTGGCCACACAGAGAAGTGAAAAACCGCCATTTAATGGTCAGCAGCACAGTCAAAGTTAGGCACCAGCGAAGTTTTCCACTTTGGCCACTATCATTTCTTAAGAATCTTTCCAAGCACTCTCAGAACTAGAGGGCTGGAGGTCCACGGCCCTTGCTGTCAGTGTCTGATCAGCTGCTGTCATCTGCCTCAAAATCTGCCCCATGGTTTTTTCCATCCTTGCTAGCAGCACAAACCAACTGGTTTAGTCTAACATTGATAAAATTATAGATTTGGAAGGACGTTTTTAAAGCAAAAGTCCTAGCTAATTTTCTAACTTTGTGGCTACAAGAATAATGAATTTAAAGTGGGTGTGCTGGGAAAGTTATTTGGGTCCATTTTTCTTCTGTTCTTTCCCCGTTTCCAAGTGTATATAGGCAATCCTGAGTTCACTGCCTCAGGGAGGGGATGCAATTAGTCAGAACATATAAATAGCCAATTACCACTTTTTATCTCTGTGTTTTAAAAAGGGGAACTTAGAATTTTGGGGATGATGTAAAGATCAAATGTGTGGGAGAAACAGAGGTCAAAGAGCATTGATTTCCTCCACCCACTGCCTAAAATAGCATTCTCTGAGGTCTGAGGCAGAGAGTGTAAAGGGGAGATAATGACGAGAACAGACAGAATGAGGGCTCCAAGAGCTAGGTTTCCTTCCTTCTGGGCAGTTCCTGGGAGGAGGCAGCAATACCCCGAAGAGGAGATGGCTTAGTGCAGAGTCTAGGTCCACCGGTCCACTGCCTCTTAAAGATTTCCAGCCCTCAGCAATACAGCAAAACATCTGTGTGAGCCTCCAGTTCTCACATGCTGCAAGCCAAATGCTGTCTCAGGGTTACTCGATGGGAACAGATGACTCAAGGACCAGCGCTGCTCAAGGCACTAAGCAAATCCCAACAGGGTCTTCGTCTCAATCCCACAGAAGAGAGAAACCAACAATAACCTGAGATTGGTAACCTTAGCCTGCTAGTACAAAGATAAAACATCAAATTAAGTTAGACGAAATGTGATCTTTCTAGATCAATGAAGTCTGAGGACTCTGATTTGTAGATCCACTATACTCATAAACACATTTAAAACTACTTAACACATAAAATGTTACTTATAATATTTACAGTATGATACTTCAGTAAGTTGAAAGTCAACTACAAAATCTGAATGTCAATTGACCTCCACATGGTTATCTTATGTCCAGATGGAAAAACATTAGTTCAACTCATTGCCTTTTTAAAATCCATTCTTAAAGAGAAAATATTAATTAAAGATTCATTGTCACTTTAGGGGAAAGAGAAAAGAAGAAAGTAGAGTAAGTGTCTAGCTTCATTGCATAGGAATGGGTCCTCGTCTCTGCTTCATTCAGCACTCTGATGATTGACTGGCAAAGTGTAGAATGTGTATGCATCCCCATTAAATGTTTTCCTCTGCTAGATTTGACTATCTGTTCCAACTATGCTCCTTTTTTTTTTTTTTAGGAGATGGAGTCTTGCTCAGTTGTCCAGCCTGGCACAATCATAGCTTACTGTAACCTTGAACTCCTGGGCACAAGTGATTCTCCCACTTCAGCCTCCCAAATTGCTGAGGTGTGAGCCACTACGCACAGCCCAATTATGCTACTTCTGAGTATTAATTAAGACAATCGAGATTTTGGCTGCTCATCCAACATCACACTATGTTAAATTTAAGCACCATATGAATGTACTTCTTTAATAACTTCTTTACTATTTTCCTTTTTCTTCCGCTTTACTATTTCTGCAAACCTCCTAATATAGACCATTCAGTCTATCTCCCTTTTCCTCTCCTACATGCCAGTGGCTCACCATGAGCTGCTGGAGAAAAATCCCACATCAGTGCAAGTTGGTGTCACAACTGAAGCAAGGCTTCCAAATGCAGCTGGCCATCAGCACTTTGCAGGGATGTCTCTCACCCTTGGCAGGTAGCACCATGCTCTCCTGATTCTCCTCCTGCCACCCTGCTCTCTGTTTCTAAGTCTTCTTTATAAGCTCTTTTTTTTCTTTTCTTTGATATTGAAGCTCCCTGCATTCTGGCCGGGGCTCTCATTCGACAAGCCCCTCCTGGGAAATAGGCACTGTAATAACTTTGACAATTATACAAGCTAATGATTCCCAGATCCTTTTCTCCAGCCCAGGGCCTTCTGAGCTCCCTGCCTGTACGTTAATAGACATCTCCAGCTATATCATTAACACATTTTAAACACAAGTCCTAAAATTAACTCGTTTTCTCTTATCTCATCCAGCAAGTCCTATAATTCCAATTTTGATAAAGACCACCATCTTTTTTTTCTTTCTTTGTATATTTGGTTTGATCTCTGTTCCATTCTTCCTAGAATGTTTGATTCTATTCCATATTCATTAGCAGGTGACCTAATTGGCTAATTCTCCAATAAACAATGAAACAGACCATGTGCCTGCACCTAATTAGTATTCAATAATGTTGCGGAGTAAGTTAATCATTTTCATGATCCACTAGCTTAATAATCTTATCAAAAAAGACAACATGCATACTGATAAAACTTATATTTAAGAACCAATTACACCACTTTATAATCATTCTTTTCATTTCCTAAATGCTGATGATCAATCCATTTACTATTTCACTTGGGGTACACAGCAAGTCCATTGGTTTATACTTCATAAAGTTATAAGAATGAGTAGACACTTTCTCTTCTTTCTTTTGGAAATCAGAATTAAAATGGGTCTCTGTGGTTGTATGGGCACGTTCTCATGCTCTGTAATTCCTCATTGATTGTCAATTATGGTTCCACAACCTTACCTGCACTTTCTCCCAGGAACTTATGACCTGGTTTATACAAACATGGCTAATATGAACTCATTTGGATAGCTCTTTCTGATTCTTAGAGAAATTTAAGAATTTAGATTCCTCTAATATTCATTCTTCCCTTCTGACTGAAAATACTTTTCTTTGCCCAAGAAGAAAAAAAATTTAAACTCCGATTCAATAGTTCTGGGATTTTTTTCTCTCCTATTGTCTATTAACATTAGACAATTTTCTTTAAGTAATCAGTATTCTTTCCTTATTTTTCTAACTCTAAAAATGACTTTGAGACTCCACTTTTGTTGTCCTTTGTGCTTTTTGCAATCCTCTACTCACATTGGGTGTTAACTTTCCTGACTCAGCTTTTCTGGTTTCCTGACTCAGCTTTTCTGGTTTCCTGACTCAGCTTTTCCAGTTTCCCGACTCAGCTTTTCTGGTTTCCTGACTCAGCTTTTTCAGTTTCCCAACTCAGCTTTTCTGGTTTCCTGACTCCATTTCTGCTTAGTTTCTTTCCTCTCCTTCCAGCTCACAGTTGTCATGTTCTAAAATTGGTATTAAAATGCCAATAAATACATTGACAAATAATAGTTATTGGACATTTACTACATGCTAGACACATCACATTCAATTACTTAATTTCAGCATAACCCAGTGGAATAGTTATTGCCAAGATGCCTCTATTACAGAGGAGGAAACAAGGCTCAATAAGATTCAAAAGTTTCCCAGCGTCACAGAGCTAGTAAACTACAGATCCAGAGGCTTAAACCCAGGTCCGAATGACTAAAAGTCAAGGCTCTACTGCCCAAGTTTAGGGTTCTTCTGTGTGAAAAGTACCATAACACTGAGCTCACAAAGGCTCCAGCAGCCATGTACTAACAGGAAATGCGCACGAGGGAAGGCGGCCAAGTGTTTGCGTAGCAAATACGTTGGAATATTCTTTGCTTCTACAAACATTTTTTTTCCTGTTTTTTGTTATCTTCACACTTTCAAGATAAATACATATGGAAAAATATTCTCTAAATATCCAAAAGGTAGTAATGTGAGTTTGATAAATGGCAGTGGATATTCAGGTTAAGGTAATTCAGGTTAAGAAGTAGGGGCACTGCTGTGAGCAGAAACGCATAGTCCTTACTTCGATGTTTCTCAAGGTGTGGGCTCTGACCCTGACCAGCAGCATCAGCGTCACCCAGAAGCCTGCCTGTTAGAAATGCTAATTTGGGGGCCCCACCCCAGATCTACTGAATGAGAAATTCTAGGGTGAGGCCTAGAAAACTGTGGTTTAACAAGCCCCCCAGGTGGCTCTGATGCACACTCAGGTTTGAGGAATACTGCTGTACCTAAAAGGAATACCTCCCACTCCTCTCCAGTTGATTTTTTCCATGTGGGGAGTATGGATCGTAGGTCATCAGTGTGTCCATGTTCAAAGGGAAGCAGAAGTCTCCATTATTTCAATTCTCTCCATTTTTAAATGCTGCTTCAAATGTTTTTAATATGCAACAGATAAAACACATGTAAACTAGTTCTGGCCTACAGACCATCAGTAAATGAACACTGAATAGAACCTAAGTTATATTAAA